CACATGAAAGTGCAGAAATTCAACATGTTGCAGAAATAAAGCAAAGCAAGTCAAACCAAAATAATAAACAGGCGGTGTCGCTGGGTCAGCAACATATCCCAGAAAGGAAAAAAAGGCGGTCGGACTCCGCATATACATGTCCGGTCCTAATTCTATACATCAATATAAAATGCAAAATTAAGATACGGGATACGAGCATCTGCTCCTGGTCCCTTCCACGTGGTTCCCGCGCTAAATGTCTCGGAACCCGTGCCCGTATTTTATTTCTGTGACAGGACTCTCCTAGACTCTAAAAAAATACATAGGAAAATAAAAGACTCAATTCTGCATGAAAACAAGTGTCAGCGGGAAAACTCACATGCAAATAACGTATCATGAGTCATGTCTTAATGGTGGGGGAGCTAATAGCACCTGCAAGCAAAAGGGTCAGAAATCATTACTTGCTCCCCCAATAGCGGTACCTATGTGTGTATAAAAATAGAAATGACTCCCCGCAGAAGAACGCCCTAACACACTACCACACATATGTAGTATGCAGTTACACCACAAGCACAATGCAAAAGAAAAATGTCTGACTAGGGCAACCAATCCAACAAAGAATAATAGTCAGACATCAAAAAGACTATCTAGCACCCTAAATCCTAGCCCAGCACACCATCTAACGAAAAAGTGCATCAACCTAGTATCTAAGTGGGGGTAAGTCTAGGTATAATATGACTTTGACGGAGTCGTCATACTGGCCCCATCCTAAAGATTCAAATGATCTAAAGGGTGTCACGAAGAATGATGACACGAGTTAGATCTATTAGATCTTTAGCACAGTCATACTCGTGTCAATCCCGATGACTTAACTCGCATTGCTCACTGGGATCAACCCAGCAAGAATGCTCGTTAAGGCATTGCGACCAACACGGGGTCACTCTCCTAACGAACCTGGCTCGCTATCCATGCAAACATGCAAATGTTAATGCAAGCAAATCAAAACATAAAAGTGGTGATAAAGAGTATGCCATGAAGACAGTGACTGGAAGGAATGGGCATGCCGTAGCGGCAGGGGCCCGCGAAGAGGGTATACCGGTAAGGTAGTGACCCAAAGATGGGCATGTCGTAACAGCAGAGGCCCGAAAAGAGGGTATACCGGTAAGGCAGTGACCCGAAGGGAGGCATGCCGGAGC